TTTTACTCTGAGTGAGCTTGTCTACCTGAAATTGTACAAGGAGCTTAGCTCATGATATTGAAAGTGCAATTTGAAGTATTGAAACAAAATTGAATACGTAAGTGGGTGCACTCATTTCAAAGTGAATGAAAATGAACCGCTTTAATATTATTTTAATGCTAAACTAAGCAACCATGTAAAGACCCAAGTTAATTAATCCATTTTAAGAGGTAAATTGTACTAATTTTCCCTTTGTAGTTAATCCATCTTTACAAAAGTGGCAGTATAATGCTCTGAATCCATGGTGTAATTTTATTTCACTGGGCTGTAATTTACTTGTAGTCTATGGAGAAAACAATAAAGAAGCAGAGGGCTAAAGATTAGTCAAATACTATGCCAGCTTCAATAACATCAGTCACATATTGGTTTTTTATGTTGTTTTTTTATGATTTCCCCAGAAAAAAATTGTTCATTTGACTCTTCGCTGGGGACTTCTGAAAGTTTCTGAGGCACTCTCAGAACTCAGCATGATCAGTGCTAGCAGTTTCTTGGAAACACAGGAGGAAATCTGCTTACAAACACATTGAAAGGACTAAAGGTATACATTGAACTATAAAAACTAGGTTTAACTACCTTCAGAAAAAAAACCCAAAACAAAACAAAATCAAAACACAATTAAGAAAAAGCAAACAGAAAAAAACCAAACACTTTTTGAAGTGAATTATCAGAGAATTATTCTTTTTCATTAAATTATGTTCTAAGGAAAATTTCTTCCGACAGGTTCTTGTAAAACTGGAGGGTATATTACTGTCTAACATACATTTATGCTAGTTTGGTAGAGACTGCAAGAAGTACTAATTTCTGCCAAAGAATGTTACTAGATTTCTGGTCTGTGGCATTTGTCTCTTAAATTTTTGATACTTCAGAAAAGCCTTGTTCTGGACAAGTAAAAAATTCACAGTATATACAGCTTTTCCATCTCTCAGCTCTAGTCTAATATGGAAATGATACTATTAAATGTCTGTTATGCTGTTTAACACATTTCAAAGCCTGTGCAAAGGGAAAGTATTAACCTATAAAGCACCCCAGAGAGGAGGAAGGGTGCATTAATTTTGTGATGGTTAATTCACTTGTTTATTCAGTTCAGTAAAATGATATTGAAAAAGTGACAAAATATATATTTAGAATAAAGAAATAAAGTTAAATTTCAAACACTGTCCAAGTGTTTAATAATAAATAACTTTATAGGGATTTGAATTGTATCTTTTTGTTTATATCTAGCTGCTCTTTATACATCATGAGTCTGTTACATTTGGAGAATCTTCTTTGCAGCAATATGTATTCCTTCTCTTTTTTCTCTTAGTATCCTGTTTAATCAGGGCAAAACAAACATTTTGCAGAAATGTAAAAATATCTTTGTCTCTGCCTGGAAATTTGAATGAGGAGACAATGTATTATGGCAGTGCCTCATAGGTATTTATACACTGAGAACTCCTAATCCATCTAATTGTGGTAGAGCTAAATTATATCTTGGATCAGCTTCAAGGATTTTGTGAGGAAAGTATGTTCCCTTTATTACAGAATAATAATAAAAAGAACTATAACTTTTTTCTTCTGTCATCAGTATTGTTATATAGCCGAATGCTATTGAATTGGTTGAAATTCTCCACTGAGAAAGACTGTTTCTCTATATTATCATCAAACAATGATGAGTGAATGAGCTCAGTGCACCATAACAGAACATGGTGAAATATGCTGACACTGATGTGATTCTTCATTGTGATGTTAATAAATTCAACACAGGAGTTTTTACAAAACACTAATATGAGATATTCAGTTTATGAGTGCCTTGTTTGTTACCACAAATGGTATTTGTCGAGGTTTTTTTATTAGATGTAGGATTTTCCCCCATGTGCTTAATGTGAATGATAAACTTATAGTTTCTTTTGGACATTCTGGACCAAATTAATATTTTTTAATGTTTGTTAACAACCATTTTTTTTTCTCATGTTTCAATTTTTAATACATGAAAAGTTCTTTTGTCTAAGTAAAGGATCCAAAGACTTCTTTATTTTTATTGTTGCAGGTTCAATGCATTGTTCTGTGAGGAAATAAATCTATAGCAGATAATTTAAATATACTGTATCTCAATTTATGCAATAAGCATTAAACTGGAAGAATGGAGTTACTGATTTTGAATTTCATTTATAGTCAAATAAAAGTAAGAAAATTAGAAACAATTGATTGATTATATATTTAGTAGCTCATACCTAAAATCAGATCATTGCACACTGTGCAGAATTAACTGTGTGAAGAGTAGGAGCATATTGTGACATTCATATTGTTATTTAAATGTAAGCATTCTAAAAATGCATGGTATTGAATCCTCTGGACAAGTGAGCTATTGAGAAGCAAGTTTTCAAATGATGGAGAATTTATCCTCACTTGCACAAACAGGAATACAGTCAAAACAAGCAATCAAAAAAAGATCCTTAAACATGGCAAATAGAAAACTGTTTTATTGTCTGAAATGTTTACAAGTTTCATGTTAAGAAGCTTGTATTCTGAAAGCTTCTATAACAATTATGATTTGGGAATCTTAAGTGTCAGTTGAGAAATCCTGGAAATTGTTCCTATGGAAATATCAAAACTGCCCTGATCCAGAACTATAAGCTACTATTAAGGAGCTAGAGAACCTGGCAACTGACATTCCTAGGAACTCACAGATCTGGTTTCCCATAAACTGACTTCCCAGTAGCTTGTCTAAGATGTTTCTCAGGATCCACTAGTCAAAGACTCCCACCTGCTTTCCAAGTGAATTGTTTTGTAGTTAAGTGAGTGGCAAAGGTATATCAAAGACAATAGGGTGGGAATCAGCTCGTGATTTATACACCTGTATTTAGACATCTGCAACGTAAGCTTCTGTGGAACTGACAATTAGGTCAAAATAGTTGCAGATAACCTAGAGTTGCTCAGTTTGCCTCAGAGTGAAAACTTAAAATTGATCAGCTGAATGCTCCCTCACCAGAGGTATCTAGTAGCATTAAAAAGGACATGAACTTGGCAGAAATTACACAGATCCTATGGGAGCTCTTTGCCACTCTTGGTCAGAGGTCAAAAGATCAAATATATCAAAGACAGAAAGTGTTCATGTTTCGGCAGTGGTTTCGTTTTCTGTATCTCGATTTCCAAACATGGAGGCTTAGACTCATCCTTCACATATAGACACTTTCATGTAGATACTTAAGTTTAAATGTATACATATGAACTTGAATGCACAGCTACAATGCAATGAACTGAAGGCACGGCTACAGGTTGGGCAGAGAAGAGATTCAGAACAGCCCTACGGAGAAGAACTTGGGGGTGTTGGTTGATGAAAAAATGAACATGAGCTGTCTTCTGTGTGCGCTCACAGTCCAGAAAGCCAACGGCATCCTGGGCTGCATCAAAAGGAGCGTGACCAGCAGGTCGAAGGAGGTGATCCTGCCCCTCTACTCTGCCCTTGTGAGACCTCACCTGGAGTATTGTGTGCAGTTCTGGTGTCCTCAACATAAAAAGGACATGGAACTGTTGGAACAAGTCCAGAGGAGGGCCACGAGGATGACCAGGGGACTGGAGCACCTCCCGTATGAAGACAGGCTGAGGAAGTTGGGGCTGTTCAGCCTGGAGAAGAGAAGGCTGCGTGGAGACCTCATAGGAGCCTTCCAGTATCTGAAGGGGGCCTATAGGGATGCTGGAGAGGGACTCTTCATTAGGGACTGTAGTGACAGGACAAGGGGTAACGGGTTAAAACTTAAACAGGGGAAGTTTAGGTTGGATATAAGAAGGAAATTCTTTCCTGTTAGGGTGTTGAGGCACTGGAATGGGTTGCCCAGGGAGGTTGTGAATGCTCCATCCCTGGCAGTGTTCAAGACCAGGTTGGACGAGGCCTTGGGTGATATGATTTAGCGTTAGGTGTCCCTGCCCATGGCAGGGGTGTTGGAACTTGATGATCTTAACGTCCTTTCCAACCCTAACAATTCTATGATTCTATGATTTATTGGCTCTCAAAGTTGTTGTTCTCGATCTCAGAGTATCAGCATGTCGTACCTTACTTACAGCTGGTTTTTGCTGTTTTAGTGTTTACCAGCTGGGGAACTTGGGCTAAGGTTCTCATTTCATACTGTAATACAGTAGACTCATTGATCATGCATCTGGGCTGGTATGTGTTCGCAGCGTGGTCATCACCTCTATACTTTGGGAGGTATACAATGGAAGTGTTTAGCAATTACGCATCTACTGTTTCCTCCTTGAGTGTTCAACCTATGAAAGATACTTTCCCTTACATTCCCAGCTCCCCCACCAGATTATTTACACCATCATTTGAGAGTTCTGAAGGCTTTGAATAGCCTTTGGTTACCATTGAGACCTGCCTGCTGATTGTGATGGGAATCAGCATGTTGATCATACAGAGTGTGTTATACCCATGACCATACTACCCTCAGAACAGCCTACTTTGTCTGATCTCAAAAGTTAAGCAGGTTCACGTTTGGGTCTGGTCTAGGGTTAGACGACAATATAGGAGGACCACCAAGAGATTTTCCCAAAGGTTGGACAGTCATGAGTGGCAGGGTGTGTGGCACAGTATGGACAAGTATCTAGTCCACTAAGCCTCTCCAGTGTTTGGAAGTCTTGGAGATGGAGGGCAGCTGTATGGAGTCTGCAGCGACAAGTTGCAGAAACTGCTGAAGGAGAGGGTGAATCGAGTCAGTTTGCAGAGGTAAAAGCCATCCATCTGGCCTTGGACATTGCTGAACAAGAAAAGTGGCCCATACTTTATCTCTATACTGACTCATGGATGGTGGCAAATGCCCTGTGGGGGTGGTTGCAGCAACGGAAGCAGAGCAACTGGCAACACAGAAGTAAACCCATCCGGGCTGCTGGACTGTGCTGCCTCGGTGCAGAACTTGGTGGTGAAGGTACACCATGTAGATGCTCATGTATCCATGAGTCGGGCCACTGAGGAACACCAGAAAAAAGAATTTGCTGGGGAAGACAGTCTGGGTTATTCCTGCTTCAGGTAAAGGCAAACCCACCTGTGGGATTGCTTTTGCTCAGGGACCCGGATATACTTGGTGGGTAATGTGGGAAGATGGGGAAGTCCAATGTATACCTCAAGGGGATTTGATTTTAGGGGAAAACAGCCAATGAACTCAATTGTATGTTGTTGCCTGCTATGTAATACTTTTATAGTCCACCAACTAAATGTCTTCAGGTCACGAGCGACTGGCCCTGACTTCCCTCCGACCATCATCCCAACAAAGAATGAACTTTGATAGAACCAGACGAATTCTGCAGTAAAGGAACGATCATCATCAACAGGCAACAATCCAACACTGCACACTGCCTCTCCTGTTCTGAAAGATTGTTACAAGAGATGGAACCCAACATCATGGACAGAATGGACTCAGCAGCTTTATAGGGATTGGTCCATGCACTAAGAAATGATCTCTCTCTCTCCATCTGTGTGTGTGTATGCGTGCATATATATATATATATACGTAAGAGAGGTGGTATATTGAAAATGTGGGATCCGAGCATGGCGTGAATGGTATGGACCAAGGGGTGGATACTGTCCTCGGTTCAGCAGTAGCAGTCATTTTTTCTCCTTCTTAGTAGCTGGTGCAGCACTGGGGTTTTGACTTTCAGCCTTGGAACAGCACTGATAACACCGAGGTTTTTGTTGCTGCTCAGTAATGTTTAGTCTGACCAAGGACTTTATGAGCCTCATGCTCTGCCAGGGAGGAGGGGAAACTGGGAGGAAGCAGAGACAGGACATCTGACCCAAACTAGCCAAAGAGGTATTCCATAACACAGCACGTCATGCCCAGGATGTAACTGAGAGTTACCCGGAAGGGCTACTTCACTGCTCAGTGGGGCTGGGTATCGGCAGGTGGTATTGTATTCTCTTCCCTTGTTATTCCCCTTATCATTATTCTTATTGGTGGTAGCAGTAGTGATTTGTGTTATACCTTAGTTACTGGACTGTTCTTTTCTCAGCCCATGGGAGGCCATGGGACTATTCTTTTCTCAGCCCATGGGATTCTTTTGATTCTCCTCCCCATCCCTCTGGGAGAGGGTGGTGGGGGGATGAAGGGTGGGGGAGTGAGAGAGTGGGCTGTATGGTTTCTGAGTGACAGGCTGGGCTTAAACCACAACACTAAGGTATAACACAAAACCACTACTGCTACCACCAATAATAATGATGATAAGGGGAATAACAGGGGGAGAGGTTATAAAACTAAAAGTGGAAAATGAAAAGAAAACAATAAACATAAGTGATTGACAAAACAATTGCTCACCATCTGCCAACTCAGCCTGACCCGAGCAGCAATCTGGACCTTCCGGGCAACTCCCCCCAGTTTATATACTGGGCATGATGTGCTGTGGTATGGCATACCCCTTTGTAGTTTGGGTCATGTGTCTTGTCTATGCTTTCTTCAGGCTTCCTGTGCCCCTCCTCACTGGCAGAGCATGAGGCTGAAAAGTCCTTTATTGGTGTAAACATTACTTAGCAAGAACTAAAAACATCAGTGTGTTACAAGCATTGTTCTCAGACTAAAGTTGAAAACACAGCACTGCACCAGCTACTAAGAAGGAGAAAAATAACTGTTACAGATGAACACAGGACACCTTGTTGAAACTCATGAGGTTCACATGGGCCCACTTCTTGAGCTTTTCCAGCTGCTTCTTCCTGTCCCTCAGGGTTCTCAACCTCTCAACTTGGTGTTGTCTGCAAACTTGCTGAAGGTGCTGTATGACCTTGAAGAAGATATTTAAGAGTACTGGTTCCCATATGGACCCCTGAGGGACACCACTTGTCACTGATCTCCATCTGGACACTGAACCATTGACCACTAATGTCTGGACATGACCACCCACCAATTCCCCATCCACTAAACAGTCCATCTATCAAAACCATATCTCTCCAAGTTAGAGAGAAGGAGGTTGTAGGGGACCGTGTCAATGGCCATACACAAGTCCAGATGTACAACATCCATAGGTCTTCCTTTGTCCAGCGATATAGTTACTCCATCACAGAAGGCCACTTGGTTGGTCAGGGCATGTTGGCTGTCTCAAATCACCTCCTAATCCTTCATCAACCTTAGTTACTCATTTATTAGGATTAATGCTTACAAAGCTAAATATAATGCTCTTTAAGAGATGGTTTTCAACGTAGGATATGTTTATATGATCTCCAAAGTCTTTCACTTCAAAGGCTAAATGAGTACTTTGTAAATGGAATATTAAAGCAGGAAAATCATTTAATTATCCGGCTATTACATCAACACATCAGGATTCCTTCTGAAGGCAGTCTGTTGATATTCCCCTGTCTTCTTTCCAGCTGGCAGTTTCTGGCACTCCACTGAATTTTACAGTTCATAGTAATCTCAACAGTAGAATCTATTCAGAATCTTACACTTTGAAAAATCTTTCATGTAGTGTAGGCCTAAATGCCATGCATACAAAAAAATTTCTCTCAGACTAGGGTTCCAATAATATTTTTGGCTAGTCATTAAGGGAATTTTAAAATGTCATGTATTTTGTAATGCTTATTGCATGTTCCATTTTTTTCTTATTTGCAGTACATACATCAAATCATACATTAAATTTATATTTTAAAAAGTTTCATGTGGTGTAAAAATCTTCATGCCTGGTCCCACATACATTTCTGAGCATGCTTAATTTCTGACTACTTTCCTTCCTTTCCTCTGTTCAGAAAGAAAAATGTATGTTCTATTATCTTCCAAATTGTACAATATGGAATATGGCTTGGGGTTTTTCAAGTTCTATCTGAGCTAGGATATATGTTCTGCTTTGTGGTGACACTTGGCGAAACATATAAAATGAAAATCTGACCTGACCATGCCCTTCTTTCACTGACAAATTCCCAGAGGCAGGACTTCTCTTGGCAGCAACTTCCTTTTAAGGCAGGTTTCTCATTCACTCTAGGTGTCAAGCTTAAATTCATGAAGAAAATTAATTCAAACAACTCTCTTGAATATCTTCCCTGAAAGCTATCTGCTGTAGTATCACTTTTTTAAAGGTAGGGTTGATGAACTCTGCATTTTTAAAAGGAATTTTGTCATTAATTATTATAGAAACAAAGGGATGAGTTTTCATGAGTGGTACTTTTTGTTTCGGTTTGTTCTGTGGTTTGTTTGGTTTTGCTTTTTTCCAATTAGTAGAACAAACTTTTAGAAAATATATCCTGCTTTCAATTAGTATTGGTCATAGTCAGTGCAATATCCCCTGATAAGATCCAGAGTTTTGAAAAGAATAAGAAAATTACTGGAAAGAAATCAACATATTTCTGGATTCGGTACTTACTGGGGACATACACCTTTAAAGTACTTGTTTTAATTTGCAGTTCATTTTGATATTTTGCCATTCAGATTTAGTAGTAGGAAAATTGGCAAAGGCATTAAAAAAATAGAAGAGTTAAGAGGAAGTTGTACACTATAACCATGAGATTCGAATTGTAAAATACAAGACTTACTTACAGCAAAAATACACAGTGTGACTATTAGATACAGATATATAAAACTGGAAGATCACAGCATATAAGTAAAAGGAAATTACTAGGACCACATTCCCATAATCTCAGCTTTTGGTGAAAGTGCCATTTTGTTAGCTTCTCCTTTTTATGCCAGGCCATAAACTATTCCCTGAAGAATGTTTTTCCCAAGATTCATTCCTCTCTTTCTTAGAATTCTGCTATGTGATTTAAAAGAAAATATTTCCTTGGAAGAGATTTCTTTAAAACCATTACTATCTTCAGAAAAGAGCAACTCTGCTATCTTTTTTTGTAACCCAGTGTATGGAATGTTTTGCTTTCAAGCTTCCTAATTGCTAGAGGTTCACTGAATCACAGAATGGCTCACGTTGAAGGGACCTGCTCAGGCAGGGCCACATAGAGCCAACTGCCCAGGACTGTGTTCAGGCAGGTTTTGAATATCTCCAAGGAAGGAGATTCCACGAGCTTCCTGGGCAACCTGTTCCTGTGCTCAGTCACCATCACAATGAAAAAGTGTTTCCTGACACTCTGACAAACTGGGTGTATCCCATATGGTCCCATGGACTTTTGCAGGTTTGTCAAGGTCTCCCTGGATGGCAGCACTCTGCCATATCAGCCACCCATCCCAGTTGGTGTCATCTGAAAATTTGCTGAGGGTACAGTCTACCACATCATTCAGATGTTGGGCCCTTTGGGCCTAACCATCCAGCTAATTTTCAATCCCCTTCACTGCTTATCCAGCCCATACAACAACATCTTCTGCATTTCAGTATGTGTCCATTGTCTCTGGTCTTGTCACTGGGCATCACTGGAAAGAGCCTGGCTCCACCCACTTTAAACCGTCCCTTCAGGTATTTACAATAATACAATTGTACCATGACAAGTTTCCCTCAGAATTCTCCAAGCTAAACAGTTCCAGCCTTTCCTAATAGGAGAATTGATCCAGTCCCTAAATCACCTTTGCAGCCTTTTGTTGGAGTCTCTCTATTATATCTGTCCTGTACTGAGGTGTGCAGAACTGGACACAGAATTTCAGGTGTAGCCTTACCAGCATATGAGTTCTAAGAGAGCTGGCAGATGTCACTATGAGGCCACTCTGAATAATCTTTGAACAATCATAGTGATTGGAAGAAGTACCCAAAGATTAGAAGAAAGCAATGTCGTCCACATCTTCCTTCACCCAGAAAACTACGTGCTAGTTCTCCAGCTAATATGAGAAACCACTTCCAAGCCTGTGAAACATGAGAAAAACATCATGAGTAGTCATCATGGCTTCACCAATGGGCAGTCATGCTTGACCAACTTAACACATATCTATGACAAAGACTAGTTACTGTGCCTTTAATGGTCATGATGCTTCACAAAATGCAAAAATGCATAAAGTGGGTAAGTGAAGCCTAATTTTTCATCAGTCTCTATCATCTGTTCTGCTCATGTATATCTGACCCATGTAAAGCCTATTAAAATATATTTGTAAATACCACAAAACAAATATTGTAATGTTCTGGTTTCAGTTTCTTATAAAGAAGAGGAATGTGTTTCTAGATAATAAGATAAGCTTTATTTTGATGTTTGATTTTTGATCAGGAGTTTTTTGCCTCTTTTAAAAAGATAAAGGTTGCTTTCTTTTTGATTTACACATTAGTGTCCAACGTAAATACCCGTCTTATATGCTTGCAGTGAGGTATATATATAGAAAAGCAGGAGCATAGTCTGTTATCTGATTTGTCTTGTGTGTCTAGTTTAGATCATGGCATAAAAGAATAAGCCAATTAATTTTTTTTCCATGGGCTTTCAGTGTTCAAACTGTATAATGCAACTACCAAAATATTTCTTGTATTTTCTTCTCTTCAGGCTCTCAGCAAATTGTTACTTTGTTATACTAGTCCTCTCCAAGTAGGTCACTTCATTGCACAATATTATATCTAAGTTATTTGAAATATGATAGATATTTTACAAAGAAAAGCAGTTTTGTAAGAAAAC